TACTTGCTTGATGATTACATAGCTCAGCAAGGGGGAAATGACCTGTAAATTGTACTCTACAGATTAGAAGGAGCATCTTTATAAATATCCTACAAGACTGTCAGTTCCCATTTAGGAATAATGCCATCCTTCCCCTTACTGAAAAGCGTTTGGACAGCTGCTGTAAAAACATGTAAACCAAGTGTCACTGGAAAACTTTGAATAGCCTTGTGCTTTGCAGAAGCCCATTAATAGCTGCAAAACTTAATTTTACCAGCTATGGTGTGGATATACGTAAATATGCCTCTCACTGCTTGCTTCAGACATGCAGTTCAATTGAATTTTAACCTGGTATAGACTGAAGCATTTTATAATTGTAAGCTGAAGGAAGCTGAAACAGTTTGGGTTTTCTGGTCCCCCCAGAGGCCAAATGTCCTCTGTCCCTGACCCTGCTTGTCCCTTTCTTTTGCCAGGATAGCTGTTCTTACTTGAAACTTATTGGGGTTAAAACTCACCTTTATTTCTGAATATTTTTGATCTGAATCAATTTCCTGACCCGATCCATTGTGCAGCATGAACACTTCTGCCTGTATAAATAAGGGGCAAGAAGTTGAAAATTAATAGAAGAGACTGGAAATGGTTGGATTTTTTTATCAGTGAGGTGAACTTACTCAGGTTAAAACTGCTTGTGGATGGATCCAGAGGATAAGTTCAAATAAGAACAGTTGTGGTCTTTTCATGGGCAATATGAAGTCCTTGTAAGAAGGGATATGTGATGGAAAGGAGGAATCGTAGGCATATTCTTGTAAGTGGTCATGAAGCTGTAAATTAGAAAATGTATGTGTGATTCCCAAGGGAAAATGGCCAGTAGTAAAGAATCCATGTGATTGGCCTAACACAGTGAGTGTAGTATATTAAAGTGAACTTGCAATGACAGTAATTTCTAGCTCTTTGCTATTACTTGGCAGAGTAACTTGTAAAAGCTGGATCCCTTTACAGTGCTCTGCCTCACCATCTAATCAGTCATCAGAGGAGGCAAGGAAAGATTTGTAATAAAAAATTATTACATAATTATAGAAGGGTATTACATGGCTAAAAGTGGCCTTGTCTTTTCAATAATCTCCAGTCAAGTATCTCTCTGGCCATGAAGACTCTCAGCTAGTCTTTTTTGTTGCAGTTTACGTCTCAAAAAAAGATCTGTAACAGCTGGTTTTGTGTAGAAAAACATGGATGAGGCTTTTTAAATGGTATTTTTAGATAGACACTTTATATTTATATTGAAAAAAAAATCGAGCAACTTTTAGCTGTTATGTTTGTGGGTAATCAGAATAAAAATGGTAGAGTAGTGGTCTGATCAATGCAATGGAAATGAATTATTTTGTTGGTTTTTAAATTTATTTTTAATCCTGTAGTTTTATTTTCAGAGCAGAGGTATGCCTGGTTTCTGCCATTAACAGAAAGGATCTAATGCAAGGGATGCTACTGGTGGGTTTCTGTTTTTGCTGTTGAGGAAGTGGTGGATTTTATTATTGCTGAAATACCTTTATGAAAAAGTAGTATCATAACATAGCTTGAAATTTAATAAAAAATTTTATCAAAAACAAACTTGAAACTTAATTACTTAACAAAGGGTTTATCTAGAAACCCATGTCTTGATTTTATTATTCTTCCTTTGTTACAGTATTTTTCTTGACATTTGAATTACCAAAGGTGAAGAATTTTCAAATAAGGTTTTTGTAAGTTTTGGCTTGCTATTTATCATATTTTCAGAGATTTTCATTTCCAAGGGCTAGTAACTAAAAGCTTACTTGGGGAAATGATACTGTAATCAATGTTTAAAATAACAGTTTTTGTAGAACTGCCTCAGGATTTGACTGTACTGGACATACTTGACATGGGTGGCGCCTGTTTTGTTCTCTGGGAAGTTTTGTTCTTTTGTTGTTTATCTGAGTACTGATTTGAATTTATTAGAAATGATTTCCCTCTTCCTCCAAATCTGTCTCACGAGACGTTTGTTTAAGAAGAGACAGCCAGCAGGTAGACTGAATGAAGCTTAATAGCATGGCTTTGGTTTCGTAGAAAACAGAGATCTTCAATAATAACTGCACAAATTGAACCAGTCTCACTTCCAACACTCCATGTTTTATGTATGATGCACTCTGTAGAGAAGGTGTGCAGAGTTAAAAGGATTTTTGCCAGGGCTGGGTTTAGCCTCATCTAACTGATTTCTCCAGCGTCCTTCTCTAGTTAATTGCAAAAAGAGTCAGCTCTCCAGAGGCTCAATCAGAGCAGACTAATGTATTCCATAGAGTGAAAGGAAAATTAGCCTCGTGGAGGTAAAATTGGCTTTCTTGAATACTTCTCTAGGTGCTTTGAATCTTCAGAAGTTGCACTCACCATCAGATATGCTAAAAGGGAGAAGCAAACACAGAATGCAAGATGACAAAATAAGATACAGTAATTGTAAAAGTGCAGACATCTGCTTGCCAGGTTAATCGATCTTTTTTCTATGCTGCATACCTGGCTTGCATTTAAGTGCCCAACAGCAATATTTTTGTTTGATTTGCCCTGGCAAGGAAGCAGAAGATTGGTCTCCTTGTTGGTTTGTGGGGACAAGTTGCACACAACGGCACACTGAGAGAACACTAGAACTTCTGGGATGCAATAGCATAAAAATTGCTTGTGCAACTTCAATGTGCCTGCTTTGAGTGTGGCACAGTGACCCTGCAAAATAGACTGTAGCTTCATTTATTAAGGAAATTTGGAGAAATGTGGTAGATACGGCAGCCTGTTTTCACTAAAAATTGAAAAAAAATCCGACAAATCCATTTAAATATTGACAAAACTTAAGTCATCTTTTCCTTGGAAAATGGTTAATCAGATTCACCAACTTTTTTCCCAAGAAAAAATAAAAATTAAGTGCAATGTGGTACCCTTCACAAAACCCTCTCATTAAAAAAAAATAGGATTTAACAAGATCACAGGTAACTCCTTTATGAACTATTAGGGCTTCATTAGTCATTGGTTGGTTCTTCTAGTTCTGCTTAGTGGTATCAGTGAAGTTTTGGCTATTAAACGTGATTTCATTTTTTGTTTAGTGCCCAAGCTGTTGGGAGCACTGAACGTGCTCTCAGAATGTAACGTTTCTTTTCTAAGCTGCTCTTCAGCTGGCTTTCTTCTGCTGCTGCTCTTTGTTTCATTCATGATACACGCTTTGAAAAGCATGTGGGTTTTTCTCACCGATAGAAGTTGTAGGATGAGTTGTCCAAAGAGTGTGGGTTTTAGAAAAAGGTCACTGCCCTTGTGAATCTGCTGGCTTTTCTTGCTTTCATGTACAGCTGCAGTATTTGATACATATACATTCTGTCAGCAAACATTGGTGAAACTGACAGCCAAGAACGTGCTTCCTTTTCCCCATAAAGGATGAAGAAGTGACATGGAGACGTAAGGATGCATTACTTCTGTCTGGCCTTTCCTTGGCAGAGAGTTTGAACTTGTCCATGAGCTGTATGGTGTCATAGTGATGTCACATGATGGATTTCTTGGGCTTTGCTTTTTACCACTCACTGCTATAAAAAAAGCAAAAGAAAAAGGCAAGAAAAAACAACAGACACTAACTTTGACCAGAAGGCTATTCCTTTTTACACAACAACTCCCCAAACCTCTTCCAAGAAAAAAAAGGTTTTGATTGGAGCTGGGCTGCTTCTGTTTCCTGATGAAAAATTTGACTGTTGCTGCTTCACTGGTGCTTTGTTTCTAATGCCAAAATGAGCTAGTATCCCAGTGTATTAATGATGGTGTAGCTGAGTATTAGAGTAAAGCTTCAGACTGAGAGTGATTCAATGACCTTAGCTTTAGAGCTTCTCTCTCCATAAGGTCTGCAGGCTGTGTACTCCATTCCTATGTTCTGTGTAACCACCCAGAAGCAGCTTGTGATCCTAAATGCTTTAAAGAGAATGTTTGCATCATGACATTACTGTGTACATGGCTAACATGCAGCATAATGGAACAGGGATTTTAATATTTACAGCATGTTACGTAAACGTTGCCCTTCTGAGTATTTTCTAAATCCTCTTAGGTCTTAAGTGACAGCTTTGATTTTTTTTTAATAAAATCAGTCTTTTCATTTATCCAGCTAAGTTTGGTAAACAAAAGATGTTTAATACTTCCTTTCACAGAGACAGATTCTTGTATTTGAAGGTTTATCTTTGTGCACTTAAGCTTATTAGATTCCTGGGTAACTATTTAAAAAATGCTGACTTTGCAAGAGCAGTACATGGTGCAGAGGTGGGCTTTGGAATTTTCTGTGCTTTGCCAGTGTGTTCTGTGAATAGATAATCTCCAAGGGATTGCAATAAGCAGAGCAGCGTGGGTTATGGTATGCAAATGTCACATGGATCATGAATTCTATTTTGATCTACTAATAGTTCAGTAGTGATTACTGATTTTGGGTTGGGCTTTTTGTGTGAATATATTTCTGAATACATACTCCTTTTAAAAATTGAGTGAAATGAGAAATTGTGCTGTGGTAAAATAAAAAGAAGGAAAATCATGACAAAATTCTGGATATCTATGGGAATTTTCTCTTTAAAGCTGCACGACCATGACTTTGTACTGTGCTTTGATTCTGCTCTGACATTTATTTTTAATTAAGTGGTAGATGCAGGCATTCACAACATCTGAAAATGCTTCTGAGGGACAACACGTATGATGCAAAGGAGATGACATGGGCAGAAAGGTGCTGGGTATCTTCTAGCATGATTTGGTCCTTTGATTTTCACGATGTGTGAGATCTGGGCTGTCAGTATGAGGGAGGATGTTTTTCCTGGGGATGCAAGACAGGTAGGAAATGTGTTCAGAATGCTTGTGAGGCCAGTTTAAGAGTGAAGATTCTGTGTTTTTATGGCAGTGTAATGGATGCAGAGCTTTGCTGGATGTACCGTTGCAGAGGATGGATGGGTGGATATTTTGTGTGTGCAGTATGTTTGTGTTTGCAGTATTTGCATTACTTGTGCTTACAGGTGACTGTGGAGGAAGTGATGACTACGACTGCATACCTGGATCTCTTCTTGCGCAGCGTTTCGGAGCCAGCTCTCCTCAAGATTTTCCTCCGCTTTATTTTGCTGCACCGACATGAGAATGTTCATATCCTGGATACACTTACCAGCAGAATCAACACACCATTCCGGGTAAGACAAGCAGAAAGGAAGTTCAGGAACTCAGCATGGATGTAGATTCAGTGTTTAAGTGGGAGATTTCATATATTACAGTTGAGTACTTGTTTAGCTAGGAATTTTCTACCCTCCACCCAATGGTGTGATATCTCCACCCTCTGAGTTTTGTGTGTGTGTTTTGACATTTAGCAACCACTATATAAAGCTAATAAACCTGTGAGGTGATTTCACATATGTAAGAAATGGCATAGAGGTATTGAGAGCTTCTGAAAGTCTGAATCCTTTTGGAAGATAAAAGGTAAATTTGGAAACATTTTTCTTCTGACTAGTGCTGGATTAGTGCTATCATAGATAGCTCTCCCTGGGACTTATAAATATACTTGTGGTGAGGAGCATTTCTGATCTTTGGAGCTTTGCCAAGCAACAAGCATTTTCAAATAGTCTGTCTGGGGAAACAATGGGAGCCCTCTAAGGAAGTCTCCAAATGGATCCCAGTTGTTAACTGTGATCTCGCTGATGTATTTTTCAGGAATCTATAGTCTGTATTTCTGTAGCATGTTTACTTAACTATGATGTTGCCTGCTTTATTTGACTAAAAGAGCATGATTTCTTGCTCAAGTGATGAGGCTGCTGCTCCTTCTGTTTGCCTTCATTCCCTTGTGCAGTAGGGTTTATCTCAGGTTTGTGCTGAGCCCCTTCTCAGCCTGGGCACAGTGCAGCACGGTGGCTGGAGGGCTGCCTGCTGGAGAGAGAGTAGTTACCTTTGCCAGCAGTTGGATCTTCTGGATGAGAAAATGACTGCTTGTTGCACTGGACTGCTTGAGTGAGCCTAGCTTGACTGGCAGCCTTGGCTGACTCTTGGGTGATGCAGAGCTTCATGGATGAAATTGAGTATACTGTTTTAGTGCAAGTGAATGCTTAGAATGTGCAGTAATGTTTTAGAGAAGCCAGAACACCAGCATATGCATTAAATTTGTGTATTAGGGACAGTAGCTTCATCTGAAAATTGTTTTGAAATGTAAGTGCATGCAAATATCGATATATATGCTGCTGTTAGTGCATCTCTATGATGGATTAACTCTGAAAACTGAAACGGTTCTGTCAACAAAAATGCAAATGCTGTTGTCTCTGCTGATCATTAATTACTATTCCATAGGCAAACAAGATGGGAATTGTAAAGAATTCTGCAGCCCTGAGCAGCTCAGGATCTCAGCCAAAGTGGTTCTGTGATGCTAAAGGAGTTTTCTGCAGTATAGCTCAGCCAAGTGCAAACATAGCATAAAAGCTGTGTACATTACTATTGATGAAAATACTAATTAATCATTCACAGAGTTAAACTTGTTTAGAGACAGGTGCCTGAAAGGACTTGTAGAAATACTATCCTCTTTGTTTCTTGAGTGTATTTTAAATCTTATATTTTTACACAGTGCAAAAATAGACTTGGATTTAGTTATTCAGAAGATTCCACATTTGCAAAGACTAATGATTACTATTTCCCTGTAAACTTAAATTTCTTAAATAGAGGATAATTTGAGGCAGCAGCAGCAGGTGTTTCTGAAGTTTCATGTCATGAAGAAAAGTTATACTTAACTCCTTGTAAGTTTCATAGGAGAAAAACAGGAAATCTGCTTTCCTCTTACATCTCTCTCAGTTAAAACACACCTTTCATGCAAGAATCTGACCTCTTCCAAAGGCTTGTTGTGAAGCTCTTCAACCATTCAGCTTCTTAATGTGCAGAACACTAATAATTCCTTATACTAAAGCAACAGAAACCTGAAGTGATTTATAACTTTTCTTTCAAAAAAGACCTTTAATTGGTTCAACTTCTATGTCAGAGGTAAAAACTAAAACACTATATTGGAAGTTACAGGGTTCAGTTCATGATAAGTCAACTTAAATTAATACATTTGAATAATATTTAAGACGGATTTTTTTAGTAGCTTATTTGAGGGAAAATTCTGTTTAGGAGTGTATTTTGTTAAAATGTAACATATTACATGCATAGCCCTAGACACCTTGAAAAAAAAAATCTCATGGGGTGCTGACTAAATGAAATATCATTCTGAGAGTGTCTTATAAATCGTGATGTTCTGGCAGAGCCATATTGTAATGTAGTATGCAAGGAAGATTGGAAAGATACAATTTCCAGATCAAAAGCTGACAATGTTTATCATTTTCCAGCTCTGTGTGGTCTCCTTGGCGTTGTTCAGAACACTCATTGGCTTGCATTGTGAAGATGTGATGTTACAGCTGGTTTTAAGGTAAAGCCCAAACTCTTTTTGCCATTCTTCATGCTAACTCTGGGACGTATGGTCTCTCTCTGTGGATGCAGAGATGGGTGGGAGTTCTCCAAGAGAGCAGAAATCCAAGTAACTACAGAGATAACAATATTTATAGTCCCAGCAAAAGTCTACCAGACCTGATGAGGTTTGATTTACATCCTGAGATCTCCAGAGCAAGAGATTTTTCTTGTGATTTATTTCTATAAAAGTGAGAGAAGCTAAGAATATATTTATCACCTCCAAAGTCCTTATTCCCTGCTTCTAAATGCATAATTCTTCCCTCCTGCATGTTTTCTCTAGTGTATTATGCACTGTGATACAGGCGTATGTACTGTTTGCAGCTCCTACCCTTCTTGTTGTTTTCCAGCTCTTTGATTCCTCACTCAATGAGAACACTTCATGTTCCTGCACTATTCTAGGTATATTAAGTGATGTACTAAACACAGTGATAAGTTTTGGTTTTCTTTTGTCATTCTGTACATTGCTTCAAAATACTTATAATTTGGGTATATTTATTAGATGAGAACTGGTTATTTATTTGGAAATATTGGTGTAACTGACTTGGGCTTTTAGCGTTGCAAATCACATGAATGTTCCAGATACTGTCTGTCCCTTCACACATAGGCATTAAGGTGAAATTCCTTATACATCTGGCAGTGGTGCCTGGAAATACTGCTAGGACCTCTGTAAACACAAGCACATCACCAGTCTAGCATTAGAGTGCTGTGGTTGATCTTTTTGTTTATTTAGGAAATCCTTTAGAATTTATTTGCATTTTAAATGGCAGATCATTGTTGCAGTTGTCACTGAGGCTCTTATAAAAGTGCTTTTAAAAAGTAAAACCAAGGTGCTCTAAAGAAGTTCAAGATGAGACTGCTTTCTCTGTTCCTTAGTAGCTTCCTTTAGTTTTTTCCTCTGCCTAAGAGCTCAGTCTTGATCTATTGCAGTAAAATGCTTGGATGACCCTTCCCTCCATTTCTTTCTGGCTGCTCATCTGGCAAACTGCCTCTCTGGATTTCCCAGGAGACAAATAAATTGAGGATTCTGAGACAGAATGCGTTCATAGCCAGACCAAGCCTTTGACATCTGCCCATCCCACACTTCCTCCATACTTTCTTACAACAGGTTTGCTCTGACCTGCAAAGGGTTCCCTGTTCTGATGCAACTGTCTCCTATCTCTGCTCATCTTGACAGCTCCTTATCAAACCAAGCATCACAATATAAAGAGTCATGGTTTCATGCTCTTGAGAGGTTTAGAAAATTGATCACTGTAAATATTATTATTGCTGGTTTTTGAGAAGGCAAGAAGATGGGAAAGGAATTCTGTGTTGTTGCTTTCTCTAACATGAAAGGATAAATGATGCTGGGCACTGCTGTTTCAGGTATCTGATCCCGTGCAACCACATGATGCTGAGCCAGCGGAGGGCTGTGAAAGAGAGAGACTGCTACTCTGTATCTGCTGCAAAACTGCTGGCCCTGACACCTCTCTGCTGCTCCACTGGAATCACTTTGACACTTGAAAGCCAAGGAAAAGACTATATTCTCTGGACAAAACCAGCACTAACTAAAGGTAATTGGTGCTCAGGGGAAGACAAAATCATTAATTGTGTTTGATCTGGTAGCACCTTATGGGAGGAATTGTGAAGGAGTAGAAGGGGAAGGAAGTGCGGTGGGCAACAATAAACTGGGCAAGCCTGGAGTAGAAAGTTCGTTTAATTCCTTCCTTATGTCCAGGTCTATCGAAACCTTGTTTTAACAGCTATCCGGCTTGAATATGTATTCATGACAATAGTGTACTGATACATGGAAGCAACTCTGGCTGCTTCAGAGTGGTTACTGCATTAAGGTTTGAATGCAGGCTCATAGAAATCTTGAGTTACAGCTCTATCTTTGTGATAGGAAAAAGTGTGTTTATGAGCAAATCTCAATTGTTATGCTTTGGTCTTCCTGCCTTATTGGATTGTTAGGGTTAAAGACTCTCCCTGCAACGTCTTAGTGGATGTCTTGCTGGAGAAAATTGGATGCACTACTCTTGATACGTCTTCTTTACTTCCAGATCCTGGTAGACACTCTTCTGAATCTGCTTGCATTGTGGAATATGGAAGGGCTGTGGACATCAGCTACTTGCAGTACCTGGGGGAAGCTCAAGAAGCCATCATCCAGTGCATGAAAGATTGTAAGGTTTGGTCTGCCTTGTATGATGGAGTAAATCCTGATCCAGACACCTTTATCGAGACGCTTGCAGAGGAGAACAGTACGGATGTGGAGCACCCCATGTTTCGGCTCCAGCAAAGGACCCCTAGCACGTGTAGCTCTGCTCGAGCAACTCCATTCAGTGAGAAGATGCAGCTGGAGCTAGAATGGGATGATAGCTATGACACAGGGATTTCTCCTGGTTCTAATGTGAGCTCGCCACAACCGTATGATGATCTGGGAAGCACAGAAATGCAGCCACCTGCAGAGCCACCAAAACACATTCAGGAAATGAAAAAAAATGCCATTATGCTCGTCAAAGGCTCTTACATAGAGGAGTCAGACTTTCAGGATGATATTATGGTTTACAGGTTATGTGCCCAGAAGGATACTCAAGATGATGACAGCTCCAAGGAGAAAGCTTTAAATGTAGCCAGAGAACACAAGGTGCAGAGCCAGACCGTAGTCAATGGGTCTCTTGCAAAGACCCAGCTGGAAATGGACTTGGATGAGCACAGTAAGAGAAATTCAAGCTCAACTAAAGGTGTAATGAGAGAACAAATAAACCAGAAAATGACTGAGATTGATCCACAGCCAGACTTAGAGTTAAAGATTTCTTCTCAGGAGGCAGATTGTAACTTAACTGTAAAACTGCTGAGCACAGATGGTGAGGATTTCATTGCACAGTATGACAGAATTATTAAGGAACTGGTTCCAAACAGTGCAAGCATGGAGGAGCAGAAGTTGGATGCTCCTGATCCTGTCTCTCCAGCAGAAGAAGAGGAGGACTTTGAGAATTTCTCAGCAGATACCCCTTCTGCAGAAAGCATATCACCTCCCTTTGGACCAAAGGAGGATGTCTCGCCCAAGCACTCTCCAAGGAGCCAGAGTGCTCCATTTACAGGTGGAATGTCCTGTTAATTACATACATAACAAATATAAGAAGGCATGGTGATTAAAGGGGGCCCAGTGAGATCACACTGTGGCACACAATGCAAACATAGAGAAGGAAGAGTCCTGGCACTAAACAGGGTATAGCCTAAATAGCTGAAACCACTCCAAGGAGAGTGAGAGATCCAATGTGAAAATACAACAGTCATCTGAGTGTGTGGTGAAAGCAAATAGTAGTGTTTCAGGGTTTTTTTCTTGGTTATTGTTTAGAACATTGAGCAGGGGTTATGTTGTTTGTATGTGAGAGCTCCGTCACACCAGAGGAGGTTTTTTCAGTTGAAAGGTGTTGAGAGTAGCTGTTTTAATTTACAGAGCCCAAGTAAGTAATTTTTCTGCCATCTTTAATCTCTGATGGGATGGATGCAAGATCACAGTGCCATTTTTCCTCTCTCTGCTATTCCACATTGTAGCAGAAGGTGTCAGCACTGGTGCCATGTCTGTACGTGCCTGTCTCCCTGCTCTGCCCTGACATCCTGTTCTCCAGTGTCAGGTCTGCCCTCGCTGTTGGCATGCTTTTCTGTCTAGTGCCAGGCAGCAATTTAAGATTGCTCTCTGCTGACTGTCCAAGCTATTCAGGAATGGCATTGCTACTGGAGGTCAAAGTGGGCTTTTGATCTGTATTTTTGCAGCTCCTTGCACTGCAAGGCTCCTGGTCTTTAATTAGGTCTCCTAGATACCAGAGTAACGCAAATAATAAAAAATAATCATGTACTAGGTTTCCTCACCCAACAAAAAACCTCTCTAAGATGGCTTCTCATTCATTTGGAGGGGGAAAATGTATGTTTATTGAAAAGCAGCCCTTTCTAGTCAGCTGTGGCCAGAATACTTGTCACTGTTTCTTAATAGAAAAATCCAGTCTGTTTTTCAACTAATTTGATATTTTGCTGTGATGGCAATTTCCTTGTACCAGAAGCTAATTGTATCCAGATATTTGTTTCATATTATCTGCTGTCAAATGTAGCTCAAAAATGTTCTCTCTGTCTCTCATTCTTCATCTAGTCCCTCTCTTCATTTGTTCATTTTCAAAAACCCACCCCTCACCCAAATCCACGAAAACCTCAGAACTGAGGAAAATGAAGATATAAAGCTAAGCACAATAAGCCTAGATGTTTACTACCCATCTACAGTGTGTTTTAATCTTAGACTCCTTAGCTGGCTTTAGTGAAGATCTTAGTGATTGCGTGTAAGGAGGTACTCACAACAACACCTTGGAAATGTTAAAATTGCAGGACCTTTCAAAGACAGCAGCCTGATCTAATGGAAGGTGTTCCTGCCCAGGACAGGGAGCTTGGAACTAGATAGTCTTTGAGGTCCCTTCCAACCCAAACCATTCTATGATTCTGTATCTAATTTGGGATCCTGTATTATGTTTGTTGAAGTGTTTGATACAGTTTTAAGGTTGCTTTACTGTTTTGGGATGGCATTAAGGGATGAGGCCTCTCTCTGACAGAAGTTTCCCACAGCCCGTAAGTGTCAGCAATGCAAAAATTCTCTCTTCAGGCCTATGGATCTGTGAAGAAAATGCCCTCTCAATGTCTTATATCCATGGTAAAAGCGTTAAACACTTGCATCCCTATTTTCACTTGCGGTGTTCAGGAACAGGAATCTGTATTTTGTTTCTTCCCTCTCCATATATCAGTGCTTGACTTCATGGCCATGAACGGAGTAATTTTTTGATTTCTCATCTAGTTACCCTGTTTCTTACAAGGCTTCTAAACTCTGCTTACATCCTCTGATTGTCATTTCAATAAATTCTTGGGAGTGAAAGTCATGCTATCACCTTTAAAATTTTTTTTATGTATTTGGTAACCTCCCTTGCAGCTTCAGCTTTACCTACTCAGCTTTGAAGTGTTACCTAGAGAAGAGAAACAGTGACACATCTCAGCTCCTTCTGCCATCCCTTTTGATACAGTAGAGCTCCCCTCAGGAGCTCTGTGAAAATGTCACCGTGAACTGGATAGGTTATGTTGGGACAGAAGAAACTGTATCTCAGCAAAAGTGTTTGGGGCTGCTTCACTGGGTGCCCGGCTCTGATGGCTGTGGTGGTGGCTGAAAGGCAGCAGCCACATGAAGCCTTGTCAACACTGGCCCTCCCACCTTTCCTCTTGCAGGCGGAGCTGTGCCAGCATTAGCCCCGAGAGATGAGTCTGGAAGGAGTGCTGGCTTTGTGCTCACAGTTGCTGTAAGGCACGGCAGATTCCAGCCTTTAGTGGAGCTCTGTTAAGGAATGGCAGCAGGGGCACTCCTCGTTTGATCCTTCCTGTTGCTCTGGGCCAGAAGTGCCTTAGCCTCTGCTGCAGTTTCCAGCAGGCACGTTGAACTGGGCTGTGCCTGTGCCCAGCCAGCTCGAATGGCAGCCAGGTGCACGCTGAGGAGAGCTGGAATGGTGTTGGATTATGGCCACCTGCTTCACCCTAGAAATGCCCATGGCATATATCTTTTGTCAGGTTTGAGGGCGGGGTATTCAAAGATAACAGTGCTAATCATCCAGGGATTCTTCTGCATGGTTTTCCTAGCTCTTATGCAACTGGAATAGTGTGGTGTGACTGTGGGTGGGACAAGGGACATTACTTGTGAGTAGGTCCCTTGTACTGGGTGCCTCAAGCATCTCCCCAGCTGTGTGGTCCAACAGGGTGGTATTTGGGTGAAGTTATTCTCAGCCTTGCAAAGGTCTCTTAAGCTTGAGCACGAAGGGTTTATGTACTTCATGGTAAATGCTTCTGTAGTTCAGTGGCTGTCCTTCAGCATGAATACACAAACTAAAGCTATTGTTTATGGGTGACATTTATATGATAACGCCTGTCTACCAGCAATTATGCTTATAAATCTATTTTAATGTCTTCCCTGCTTTGTGTGACTGTTTGGTGTACTGAAGATGCCTTTTCTTGTGATGGGAACTATCACAGCTTGATTTTTATGTTTAGAATAGCATTTTAATATTTTCTTTAGAAAACCAGTTTTTTGATAGAACAGGAAATAGAAATAATTCACTTTGCCCAGTCCTTACATAGAAATAGGGCACAGGAAGAGTCAAAAGAGCAGATTCTATTTGCATTAAAACTAGTAGTACCCTTCCAGTTTATTCAAGGGGAATAGAATGCTAGACTGTAATGTCCTAGGCTAAATCCTTATTGGCACATGCAAGTGGAATACTCATGAATGTTAAATATGCCATTAATGTAAACTGGTTGGCTAGGTAGCAAATGTGCTGCTAACCACAAAAGCTTTCATCACCTCTGATAAGTCTGCATTCTCTGTTCAGCTACAGTTTGGGTTTTCTCCCTGCTGTCTTTAATTACTGTGTGGGAGGCCTAATTTGATTGGTTATAATGGTCAAAATTCCCTTTAAATGCCTTTTTTCTGGATCTTAGGGATTTTCTTCTGTGGAAACAAAACATTGATTCCTTCTTGTTTTCTTGCAGGACCATTCATCAGCGTAGTGTTGTCAAAGCTGGAGAACATGCTGGAGAATTCCTTGCATGTAAATTTGCTGCTTATTGGGATTATTACTCAGCTGGCAAGTTATCCACAGCCGCTTCTTCGCTCCTTTCTGCTCAACACCAACATGGTGTTTCAGCCCAGCGTGCGCTCACTCTATCAGGTATTTACCACAGGTGTTAGCCATGCCTGCTGGAGCAGTGTCTTTAGTGTCTCCTTAAACCTTACATTAGCTGCTTTCACTTTCACATGTAGCTTTCCTACCAGTCTGAGAGCTTCTTATTTCATTTCCATGTTTTAATTACATTTGTGCAAAGAATGGAAACTCTGTATGACCATAGCTTTTGTCAGAACTCTATTTTAATGCAGGTAGAAAAAGCCTGAATATTCAGTCTGTGGCTGCACTGGGAGCAAAGGAGAAAGTCGTAATTGTTGCTGTTGTTTTGGCAGGTGCTGGCATCTGTGAAAAATAAGATTGAACATTTTGCTTCCATTGAAAAAGACTTCCCAGGTCTTCTCCTGGAGGCCCAGCAGTACCTGCTTTTTCGTGTGGACATGTCTGATGCTGCAGAAGAATTGCTCACCAAAGGTAAATGATAAGCACGCTCAGAGGAGGGCTGGTGGAATGACTTACCAGTTACCCCTGTCCTTTTCCCTAGATGATTAAAAGGTGTGGTGTGTTGTGAATGTCATTAGCCAGCTGTATCCTTCTAACTTTAAAGTGATGATGCTCAGTAGACCACAGTGTATGGGTCTATTTGGATATTCTTTGCTGTTTACAAGTTTTATTTGGCATATAAAGTGTCTGTTTAAAGAAGTAACAGAATCAGTCCTTGGCTTGCTGTCAGTAAACAAACTCACTTTCAAAGCATGAGGTGAGGTGGCATATGTGCATTTTATTTTTAGCCTGACCTTCAGCTAGGTCATTGGTTTTCTTTTTGATAAATGTTAGAGAGGACAGAAGTCCAGGATGAACTGGTTTCTGCAGCAGTTGAATAATGCTTGGTGTCATGGTTTGGGCTACCACTGAAGGAGATAAGACACTGAAAGTTTTCTGGCTAGTATCTATCTTGTATGACAAGCAAAGCAAAACAAACAGAAAAAAACCAAAAGGTGTGTGTCTATGAGCAGTGGAGAGTTAGACAGGTATCACCCCACCAAGCCAGCTTTGCAGGGGACTCTGTAACATCTGCTGCCTCTCAAGCACGTGCACAGTGCACCTGTCTTTACAGTTACCTGTACTTATTTTTACCACTGTGGGGCAAGCTAGTAAAAATAAAGAAAATAAAGTCTTAGCTGCCAAATAAGAACCTTCCAGACACAGGCAGGCAATGGGTAGAGCTGAAGCCCTGCCCTGAGGACATGCTTGTTCTCAGCTTGCTGCTGAGTGGGCAACGTTGGATGCACGCTTCTCTTAAAAGCCAACTTGCCACACGATGGGAGTGTGTCAAATTTGGTGGGTCATGAAGAGCTGACTGCAAGAGGGTTCAAGAGAGGCTGCATTTACAAGTGTGTGCTTACTCATCTTTGGGAGTCATTAATAATCACTCACTCTGCCCATACTTCTGTGAAGATGCTGGGGCTTTTCTTGGATTTCCAGAGGTGTGGAAATCAGGATTCTTTATGTGCCATTTTAATTGTGTTTTCTTTTTTCAAGACTCTGAAGAATAATCTGCCTAGTTTGTAGTCAGCATAGTATGTGTTTCTGATGTTTGCAGTACATCTAGTCTGTAAAATTATGATCTTGCTAAGGCAGCTTCCCAAAGAGTTGGTCTGTTGGTCTGCTGTAAAAAAGCTGTGTACTGCATATGTCAGTAGCATTTTAGGCTCTGCATTTTGGTGCCATAGAAAGCCTAACAGTTAGATGGCCTTGTAGCTAGCATGTGGGAGATGAGATTAGGAGGCAATATTCAGAGTCCTTTTTTTTCTCAGGTGCTTGCAATAAGAACTTTCACATAATGCATTCCCAATGACATTTATTTATACTTCCTGTTTTACGTCAGTTTTCTTCTGTGAGCTTCAGAATTTGCCAGGTTGACTCATACTGGTCATTATTTAGGGATTTGAAGCAAGGCTGCTTAGTCACCCTGTTAGTACACTTTCTTCTGTATAGTGGCAACTCCTGCAAAGAACAAATAAGTGGAGTAAGTAAATGTCTGGATAACTGCAGACTTGGTTCCCTATAGGACTAGTGATGCAAGTCGTCAAACTGTAGTCTTGGGGGAGAGTTGGTTCAGTAGCCCATCAACCAGTAGTTCATTATATTGATTAAAAAGTGCAAGGTAGGAACTGCTGCAATAATGGTAAATGAAAAACAAAAACAAAAAAAAAACAAACAAAAACCAAACAACAAATTGGGAACTCCCCATGGACTTTGCATTAGCTTGAACACCTCTGACTGTCAGACATACTGGTTGCTCTCTGAGGGATTTTTCCTCTGAAAAGAAGTGGTGAATAAACCCCGTGTTCTCTGTAGGTCTGAGCATAGCCAGCCTCCTACAAAATTCACATATGAAAACCTGAAACCAGAGTTAGTGAGGAAGACAAATGTAAAACCAAAACATTACAGAGAATTTTCTCTCACTTCACAGCGTTGGTCTCTGAAGGTTTTTGAACAGAAATGGTACAATTTGTTCTTTTTTGCTTGCAGTAGTGTGTGGTTTCTTCCACAGCAGCTTGGGCTCTGGTTACACATCTAGAGCTGTCACGATGTAGTTCCATGTGCAAGCTGCTCTCTTTCAGTGTGTTGGTGACAATCTTCAGAGTACTCATTTGCTCAGTTTTCAATTGTATGACTCAGATTGCATCCTGACCCTAGAGAGAAGTGAAAAATCCTTATCAAAGAAAAAAACCCCAAATCTCTAGTTCCTAGATCAGCTTTCTGTGCCTTTCTGTTTTTTTCAGGTTTTTTTCTAAACAAGCAATTGAATCTAAACAAAAAATATTTTTAGAGACGTATCATTTTTTATTCTTTTTAAAAGGAAGAGTATAAAGAAAAGCAAAGCTTTGACAGTGTACTAGCATTCTGGTTATATTGCCTAAACTATTTTAAAAAACTTAAAATATTAATTATGAAATGTTTTGACATTAGAAAATCTGAGAAAAAATCTTCAGGGGAAGCTTAAAACTTTATCTTTTCATTGTAATCTATAATTTAAGTTGTTTTTCCTCCCACAGTCAGATTTTCCCACAGAATAGAAATTCCTGTACTCTGTCTCTAGTAGGTAGAAATTTGTAGAATAACAACATGAATGATTGATAAGTCTGGAGTTGGAAAGGTGTTTTAAACTCAAGAAAAGTACGAGTCTGTTAAATGATTGAGATGAATTTTTTTTTTCAAGTGTTTGGAAGAGAAGAGTAATTCCACAGTGCCTTGGGTGAAGTACAGGCAAGGAGCAAAAGTGCAGAGCTGTTGAACAGAGGATTGCTGTGCAGCATCAAGTGAGGCCTTCATCTGCAGCTCCCCCTGTTCGCTGCTTGGTGGGGTTTCAGAGCAAGGCTGGCGTCACTTGAGACTGTTACTTTAACATAAACTGTGTGCAATGTAAGGGAAACCCCTTCTGAGGGCAGCAATGCAGTTTGGGGCTTGTCTGCAGTATGTGAATTAACAGCCCTTTTATTTCTTTTTAATGATTTACTCATACATCTCAGGAGAACATCCCACTTGTAAGTTAGACAGGACTTCATCTGTCTCCGCTGTTGGCCTCAATGATACCTTGTAGCAGTGAGTTCTATCTTGTAGCAGTGAGTTCTACAGGTTAATTTTTATTCGTAGAGTATTTATTTCCATCAGCATTAGATTTTGTCACCTTTTTAGTTTCACTAAATTAATTATCATCTAATTAAAGGGCAGTTCTGCTTCAGGTTGAAACAAGGAGCAATTGATTGAAATTTAAGTGCTGCTGTCACTGTAATTCCATGCATTCTGATACTTGAGCTCTGATCCTCTGAACTCTGGCAGCAGAGATCATATAGCAGAACACACAGTGGCTTTCACTTGCTCTCTTTTTAATGGTTAGTTGCTTTACAGGGAAGTAAGTGTAATTAGTGGGGCCTATAGCTGCAGAAAAATCCAATTCTAAATTTTTTTTCCCTTAGTTTCTAACTTCAAACTCATGTGGTGATGTGATAGCTCGGCCTCAAACCCACTGACATGGTGATTCACAGGGAGAGGACAGAGAAAGAGAAGTAAAATCAAAATAACAGTTTCATCTGGGGGAGGGATAGAGCATAGTATTGTTGAAATGGAGACAACCATGCTGGCTCTAGACAGGTGGATATTATCTGCTGTTTCAGAAGGTAAATCCATATTACTCTTTCCCTTGACTTCTCTTCTGCCCACATATTTCTCTCATCAGAGCTGTAACTGAATGATATATAACCTGGAGAAAGATAGGTAATAAAAAATGCAGCAGAACTAGGCCACATAGAACTTTAAAATGCTGGATTAGTGGAGTATCTCCCTGCACGATGTGGGTACTGCAAATTACAGCTCTGGACACAATCCTTATAAACTGGGTTTGGACACTGTACAAGTACTCTGTGTGCTTAATATACTGAGTCTTTTTTCTTTCCTCTGCCTCTCCTCCTGTCTTTAGGTGATGTCCATCACAGCAGCAACCCAGGGAAAGGAAGGAATCTTCCCGAAGCTTACTCAGCTGTACTGCAGCCTTTCCTGGGACAGAAAGGAAAGAAAGGCCTGGCTCATCCCAGCCTTCCTGTGCACGTGAGGAACGCCGTACTTGCAGCTGCCCTTTTCCCAGAGTTCCTGAAGGAGCTGGCAGCTCTAGCCCAGGAACATTCCATTTTATGTTAAAAAACACTGGGGGATTTTGAAGATTATTATTAGTCGGTTTTTAAAATGTGTTTTGGAAAAGCTTTTGGAGTTTAAACAGATTTTTAATGCAAAGCTGCTTTCAAAAGAAGTTGTACTTCAATATTTCCTGAAAATACTTGATTTGGAGGGAAAAGAAGGAGGCAAAATATTATTGCAGTTAGGCCTTATAATTTCCCTCTGTGCTACATAACTTATTTGAGATTTCTGATACTGTTCTTACTGCAGCTTCCTTCTTCATCCCTTCCTCGTTACACAGCCACCCTTCTTCAGTGTCACTAATTCTTGCTGAATTTCTGCAATAGACACTTGTTGGTTGGCTAAGAGACACAAACATGTTAGCTTTTTCTGTTCCAGAAATACTCTTCTGGATAACTTGTTAGGAGACAAGTTTGCTTGAAAAGACATTGCCCCATGGGAAATGTTCACAGTACAAAAAGACATGCAAAATGTGCACAAAACCCTGAAGGGGTTATGTGAAGGGCTGTTTCTTGATGTCATTGTCCTCTTTGCCTCTTCCCTTGCTTCACCCTGAAGCCAGGTTTTTACCTATCCACATCCAAAACCCCCATTTTAACTACTGGCTCAGGTTTTCTGAATTCAAGTGATCTTATGTGTAGTAAACCCACGAGTAGCTGAAAGCAGGTGCTGGGCCCTACACATACCATGTTGCCTTATGTCGCAGACAGATCTGCAGCTATCAGCTGTTGGGCTTTGAAGTCCAGTGAACTGTGTAAGTGGATGTGGATTGCAGACTGCCTGGAATTTTCCTTGTGGTTCCTCAGCATTCCTTGATAACTCTTGCATTGCTACCTAAGCCCACGAGCATGCCTTATTTAGTAAGATTTGCACAAAGTACAAAACAAAATGTTTCTATGCAAGCTGTTGTTAGTGTCTAGTTTATTTGTATGCTTGTTTTAATAAGCTAAAGAAAGATACTCAGTATCTTTCTATAGTGTTAAATGGACAGCAGGCTGTTTTTGTCTTTTTTGTCTTTTTTTATTAAATGAAAAAGGTTTGCTTGCTCATGAAAGGTGTACTGTTTTATTGTTAATTTCTTTTGGTTAAGGGAAAGTTAAATACTGTTTGTTTACTTCTAATTTAGGTGTTGACTTTTCCTAATACTGCATTTCTGGGATGGTGAGGGGAGGACCAGGCTATTCACCAGCTGCAGAAAAGGAAGGAGTAATGGGGAAAGCTGTCTGCTGGTGACTAACTGCTTGAGAAAATTCTCTTCTGTGAGTAATGGGCTTCATTAGAAGAACCCAAACGTGATGAATTGGTGCATCACCACTGCATTTTGTCTTAGCTGCATAATTGTGCTTCCAGTGTTGTAGTTGGCTACATAAAGAGGGGCTTAGTTCAAGAAAGCCATAAACCCTTTTGCCCAGGATAAAAACTAACAGTGACTCCAAAAAATGTAAAGAAACAGAAATCAGAAATAACACTTGCATACATTAGTTCTCCTGCTCATTGTAATTCCATAATATGGAATTACAGTTAATCACATTCTGATTTTGAAACACACTTTCTCAGAGATTTCAAGGAAAAAACCAGTTTAAAAACAAAAACCAAAGACATTCCAGAACAGTCTAATTAATTGCACATCAAATTCCTTTGGAATGTGCAGTGTAGTTTAAGCTCCTAAATATTTTAGATAGCTCTGAAAAGTTCTTCCTTTAATCTACAAGGTATAGATTAAAGTGTCTGCATTCATGGTGCCAGGCCACTGCAGGCTATTCCAAGAAAAAAAAACAAACCCAACGTCTACCTTCAACAAAATCACCTCCAGAACTTCTCTGGGTCCATCTTTTCTTGTTTGCTGCACAGTCTTCACTTCCATGATGGCTGGGGATCCTCTTGCTTCCTAGCTGACTCTCTCTGGTTTGGTTTCATTTATGATTTGTTTAGTTTTTCAGATGCCACTGCATCACCATTCTGTAAATCACCTACTGACCTCCACATGCCCCTCTTTCACCTCACCAGCTTTCTTGGAAGCTGAAGCCAAAGCTGTGGGATTTTTCCTTAGGTATTAGTTATCCAGATTGAAGAGAGCTCTTTCTTTTTCAGTTCCCCCCACTCCTGCATTGTAATGTAAATGGATAATGATATAGATTGATTTCTTTTTTTAAATTTTTTTTTAACTTGTCCTAGGACACTGTGGGTTCTTTCCCCATTCCCTCATTTCTGCTGCCTTCCATGCTGTGCTCACAGGCCTGGCCTGAGGGGGTTCAGTGTGCGTGTTGGAAGTGTTTTAGCATTATATAAGGTTGTAGGGTCAGTGCTTGCTCTACTTCTCACCTTCTCTGCAAAAACTGCATGTGAGCAAAAGGAAAGTTTGATCAGCTGACTTTTAGTGGTTCAGAAACAATTGCTAAAATGCAGAAGCAATCTAATCCCCCTTTTTTTTTTTTGAGGACTTTTTTTAGAAAGGAATTAGATTATTTCACTTTTTTAAAAATAAAGAACTCTGCAGGCCATTGCTTAAGGCAGTAAATTACTACCTGAACACTCCCTTCCATTGTTTATATTCTAAACTAGGAATCCTTATTTGTTGGGTAGAAGGGATTTCTTTTGAGATTGTTAATTTTAACTGGTATTTTCAGCAAATACACAAAATCACTGCAGTTTCATCACAGCAGCTCTGTTAAGCTACATGAGGATTTTAAAATGTGGACTGCTCATAAAAGCATCTGTAAATTGAGGAGAGGATTTTCCACATAAGTTTTAGTAGAGCTTATGTTCTACGTACAGTAGAATAAAGTCAGCCTTTGAAATCTGGAGTTGTGTGGAAGGCTTCTTGCTAAAAGGTCAGAGCTGTGTTTGTGCAGTGTCCCCTCACCAACGGGAAATGTCTGTCAGCTCCCCAAAAGGAAGAGATGGATGAGTGCAGTGACCCTGGCTTAGAATGTAAAAATGCAGATCATACATGTACCTTTGCATTGCTTTGTTTCTGAGTGGGATCAGACTTGCAGCTGTGTCTCAGATATAATAGCAGTATAATGTCTGGCAGCCAGCACAAAAAACTGTTGGTGGGAATTGCCTCTTCCTGCCTTCAAAATGCAGAACCTGTGATTTAGCTTGAAAATGTTGATCTTTTGAGATGAATCACATCTGTGTGCATAAGCTCTTCAGCCAAATGCTTCTCTAATAAGCTTCTTCCCTCCAGTTAGATAATGTGTTATCCTGTCTCTCACCAATGATACATCCTTTCCCAAAAAAACCTGTGCTTGTGGTCCAAGCTGTAGTCCTGCCTGTAGGTCCCTGGAGGACAGCAGCATTATACTGCTCTTTCCAAGAACAAGGAAGTGCTTTATGATGTGATTTTCCCCACATTTAGGTGGGTGTGTGACTAGAGCAGTCCTTCTTTGGTACATTGGCTCAGCATCTGTTCCAAACGAAGTGCCTTGGCAGATCTATTCCAAAGACTGCAGGTGGTGGCTCAGTGATAGCAAAGTGATTTTCCAGTCTCCTACTAGATGCTTCAAACTGTGAATGCCACATTTCCAATTTTGTAGCCTTGGAGTGTATTTTTCTGCTATTGCAAGGGATCTTTACAGCATTTTCAACCTGCTTTTTTGTGTTTGTGTTTTTGGTTTGGTTTAGTTTTTGTTTATTTTGTTTTTACAACCTACCTATAAAGTGAGCACTTTGTCTTCAAAAATTTGTAGTCATTCTCTTTTACCTTTGGCCATTTTTGGATGCTTTCTGGGTTAGTCTCAGTAAACATACACATGGTTTCTATTAATTGAACTAAAGCATTCAACAGTTTTATTCATGCTTGTGCTGATCTTTGGACATGTATAGTCAGGGGCAGTTCACGTGTTGCTGGCTGTGCTTACTACCTTTATTATTGTATTCTAGGCATTTTTCTTAAATTTGATCTTTATCATGTGTGCCCTAAAGAATATTATGATATTTTGAATGGGATCAAGTTGTTGGTGTTGCAGTTCGGGGTGTGAGCAGTGCATTGTCTTTTTTTTTGTCCTGGTAACTTCTGACTTTGGTTTTGAAGAACAGAAATGAGAACTTCTGTTTTCAGCTGTATTCTGTGGAGATGAGAAAACTCCAGTATCAGGCATGGACTGTCCCTGCCACCAGCAGGCCCAGGTACATGCTTCCAAGCATCCAGCTCATAAATTACTTGTTTCTTCTTTCTTTGGGGTTTTGTCACTTCGCAAAAAGTCTGAATTCAGTGGTGTCATGCTGTGATACAAAAGCACTTGCCTTTCAGTTGTGATTTGGTATTTTTAGTAAGATTGGTAAATTTCCTAGGAAGGGAGAAAACAAAAGTATGATGGAGGTGGACTTTGGACATCAGCAGGGGCTGTGCTTTGGAATGGGAGGACTGGATGGACAGGAAGCCAGAGCAGCATTCCTGCCACCAATGCCGCTCTTTGGCCCGTGCATAAAACCCAAGTGGTCTGTTCAGTCCTTCAGAGAAAAACATTTGCAAACAAACTTGCAGCATCCAGCAGACTCCAAGGGTTTAAGTTCAAGAGGTTAAGTTCTATTTACCAACCGAAGTTCACCATCCAGCACAGCGTGTACACACTCACTACCCTTTTGTGCACTCTGCTTAAGCCTCTCAGAAGGTTTCATGCTTCAGGAAGATTTTTTAGCTCCCCTAAGATGCTCTAAAATCTCAGTGTTGAAAAGAAAAGGACGGGAGCATTGTGATTTGTTGCAGTTAAATTATGTCATTGTATCATTTGAATTTGTAGCCACAGCTCTTGTTTGAGGATGGCTTGATTTAATAAGCAATTTACTCTGCTATATTAACTGAAATTGCTATGTCATGCCTGCAGTTCTTATGACAGCTCCCATTACGTTTGTAACATTTAAATTGCATCTGTGTTTATGAGTAGAATACTGGGATTTTCCTCTTTCTTTTCTTTTAACTCAGATAGCTCTGGCACTGTACAGTAACAATACTGCTGTGTCCAGATCTGATTTAGATAATTAGAGTATGTTCCTCCTTGCACTCTTTGAGCATTATCAGCAGAAATGGAGGATACATGGCACTTGGGCTGCTTACATTAATGAGCAAACCAAAGGTAAAATGCCACAGAGTAGCAGGGGGAACTTCCCTCTGTGTGAAATTTATGTTTGTGTTGCTCTGATTTATTGGGGACCAGAAAGAAAAAGCTCAAATTTGAAAATTTAATATGACCATGTACTACAGTACCTGTTCAAGTGGACAGCAGTGCTGTGTGATGTTTTGGGACAGAAATGTGCAAAGAAGGGTAAAACTTGCTCCTTGTGAAGGTGGTGTCAGACTTGCATAAATAGATACTTGGGTAAGATGATGGTGGTGCCAGCTGTCTGACCACAGACAGCCACAGAATGCAGCACTATTTCTGTGACTTTGTTGGTGGTTAAAGCCCTGCTCTGACTAAATGCACTTTATTTTTTAGTGGCCCCCAGCTTTTCTAAACATGTTGTGGCCCAGCATCAATGGACTTCATTTGTTACATGCTCAGTTGGAAGCCTCTTATTTATGAAAAGGAGCATTACTTGGAGTCTCAAATATGTAGGTGCTTAAAGTGGTGTTTTGTTGCTGACTGTGCAAATCTTCTTTTTGTTCATTGATTATAATGGTTCTTGTGGCAGCTGGATTAAATTAAGACTGAAGTCTCTGGGCTAAAAGCCCTGATGGAACTTTTGTGCAAAGGCTGCATTTCTCAACTTTGGCACTTCAGCAGACTGCCCGCATACAATTACGTACTGTGGACTAAATACCTGCAAACCTACATCTCTGATGAAGCCAATTCCACAGCAGCTGTGTTTTATTGCAGCCTACTTTAAAAATAACTAGCTTGGATTTAGACCAAAAGATAACATGGACGAGTCAAATCCGAGACAACTAAACTGTGTCCAGCTCAGTGCTGCTGTGTCAGTTTGGCCAGAGCTCAGACGAAATGCCAGCTCGAACTCAAAGGAAAGGGAGTGGCTCTGGGTCTCAGTATCCCTTGCTGCAGCTTGAGCCAACAACTCGTGTCTCTTGGTGTCCAAGCCCAACTTGGAGTTTAGGAACACTGATCAGTGTCTTTTGCAAATCTCTGAGGTCATAACATTGGTTTCTGAGCTTCAGTGTGGAAAAAATC